GCTTGACTGCTGTATGGAAAAATCTATAGGCTTGTACCTGATGAAGATCCACATTTGTACCGATGTTCACCTTTATCATTATGTGCAGCAGTTCATAGGCTTAAAAACCCCGTAGTAATAGGGAAGGCAACACAGGATTAACTACGATGTTTCTGTCAAACATTCAGTGAAAGTCTTTACTCTAGAAAAAGGCGCTAATTATGATAAGCAACCGTCTAAGTTAAAAATGCAAACCGATACAGAAGTAAATTGAAATCTTTACCAATTAATTAATTCAAGACAAAACCAAACTGAACCCAATAAAAACAACACTTCTGTATAATAACGACTGAAAGAAACAAACATCAAGAACAGTGTACCAACGTTGCAGAAAATCCACAACATAATAATATGCTTCCAACAAATCACTTTAGAGCCTTACTGCTTGATCTTACTTATCCTATTTCTAAGAGGCAACTATAGCTAATCAAACACCCCACAACACTTCAAGAAAAAACTAATAAAACAACAATGACGACAACGTAACCAAAAAACCCAGGAAAAGTAGCAGTATCAGTAGCAGCAACAACAACAACGTAACAACAATAACAATAACAACAGTTGCAAGAACAACATTAAAAAAACAAAAAAAACCCCCCCAAACAACAACAACAACAACAACAACAGCAACAACAACAATAACAGCAACAACAACAACAACAACAACAGTAGAGGCAGCAAATAAAGCATCAGCAGCTGGAACAGCAAAAGGAACAGCAATTATTTGTACAGGTTGGGGGCTGAGTACTGCGTGCGCTGTTGTGAATGTTACGTTAAATTGCATCAAAAGCTCTGAACAAAAAGTAAGTAACGAAACACAGTTTTATGTGTGCGTATGTATCTTTTTCCAGGTCTCCACCTTCATTTTCTTCGTCCTCCCCATGAGCGCCATCATTCTCCTTTACTTCTTCATCGCCCTGGCCATCAGACGCTCCACGCTGGTCAGGACAGGCTCCGACGGGTCGGCGGGAACGGACGGTGGTCAGCAGCATCATCACGTGACCCATGACGTCAGACATAGCGCTGTGAGCACGCGGCAGACGAGGGTGCGACAGTCTGTACTCAAGATGTTGGGTAAAGAGAAGGACTTTCTGAATACAGGGTGACAAACTACGTAGAGGACATTATATCAAAATTGAAAAAAAACAACAACCCCAAAACAAAAACAAAACAACCCCCCCCCCAAAACAACCCAACAACAGCTCAACAACAATGGTTGACAAACTAAATAGAAGACATCATATCAAAATTGAGAAAAAAATAACCAAAATAACAACAACCCAACAACAATCGGTGACAAACTACGGAGAGCACATATTAAAACAAAACAAAATAACAACAACAACAACAACAACAACAAAAACAACAACAACACCAATAACACCAACAACACCAACAACACCACCACCGCCACCACCAACAACAACCACCGATAAGATGACTCAGAGAAATAGGTTTAAAAACTAAATTTAAAAAAACAAAACATATTAATATAATCGTCATGCACAGTGGGTATTTTGTTTGTTTGTTAGTTTGTTGTTGGTTATTTATTTATTTTTGTGCCATTTTGCATGACACAATTTGTCCTAAATCCTTAAAAGATGCTGCACTATTAAAAGGTGACAAAGAGTTTCAGCGTCGGGCACTAAAAAGAGCACACGCAACTGTTCTGAAAAAGAACCATCCACTTCATTTTAGATCCGAACGTGTCCGCACGTGTAATTATCATAGTACGAATGTGTATTCCAAATTTCTCTCAGTTTTAATAACATTTTTTTGAACATTTATTGTTGAAAGGAAGAAAGAAAAAGAAAGAATTTTTAAAAAGTTAAAAAAGAAAAAAAAACCCGGTGAGATAAAAAGTTAGACCAAATCGGATCGAATCTATGGAATCAGATCGTATCAGTTCAAGTTAAAGGAGGGGGGGGGGGGCTACACCTCCAAAGTCAAAATTCGGCTCAAAATCATGGAATTTGAGTTGTAGGCATTTTTAGCTTCCTCAGCTTCTCCTACAACTATTTCATCACACAAGGACCCCCCAAAAACCGTATTTTTTCCCATACCGGGCATGTTTGTCACCGTCATTTCCCCTTAAAGTCAATAACATTTTTTTTTCTTTATCGGCCGTTTTCTCAAAACGCAACTTTTCTCTAAACTTATTTGAATGACTCCACCATTTTTCATCCCATCTTCATGAAATTTTCAGAGTGAGGAGAAGATATAATACTAAACATTTGTATGTTGAATTTTTGATATAAGGAATAGCTTGTTGTTGGTGGTGTATGGAGCGTGAATTTTTATGTATTTAAAAAAAAAACTTGAATGCTACCCCAGGAAAAAATTTATTTTAAAAAGTTTCTAATTCGTTTAGGAAAAAGACAACAGAATTTTTTTTAGATCTAATGTTTGTAAACACGCATGCAAAAAAACACACAAAAAAACCCATTCAATTTCCATGAGCGATAAGTGCGGTATTCATTACGTAAGACATGCAAGCAAAATCCAATATGGCCACAGTATCCATGGAAACGAACTTTTTCTCAAATTTTATTGCA